CCCCCTGCGACTGCGACAGCAGGTGGGGGGGTGGCAGGAGCCCCCCTGGTCCCGTCTAGTCCCCCCTGTCCTGCCCCGCCGTGCCGCTCACCCACCCCCACCGCAGGTTCCGCCGCTGCCTCCTGGACCTCAACGACACCATCTCCAACCTCATCGGCGTCACCTTCTTCGACCTCCTCGAGGTGCCGTGTTTCGTGCTGGAGCCAAGCGAGGCGTGTGTGCAGTGGCACTGGTGGGGAGGGTGAGTGCGGGGGAGCCGGTGCTGTGCCCAGAGCCCGTGTCCCTGTCTCTGGCATCACCGGGGCAGCTGAGTCCCCCAGCAAAGCCCCTCATGCCCTATGGGCTCCCCAGGTGCCAGCGTTATGGGATGGTGCCCTTGGCCAGGATGGTGCAGCCGCATCAGTACCATGCAGGTCCCCTATCACCACTGGAGGAGGAGGGGACGAACGGTGCCACCAGGCAGCCCCTGCGCGAGGGCAGGGGGCAGCCCCCCAGGCTAGGCCACAAGCAGCTCCGACAGAGGCTGGGACAAAATCCGCAGCTCCGCCAGGTGCCGAGCGCTGGGCAGAAGCAGAGACTCGTGGTGCCACCGCAGCAGGGCGCTGAGGCCCCGACTCCCGCATCTCCCAGCGGGGAGGCTGAGCCCACAACCGGGTCCCTGTCGGCAGCAAGGCCTCCCGCAGCGGTGGCCATGCGGGAGCAGGACTCTGAAGGAAGGCAGGAGCTGGGAGCAGCGCGGGAAGGGGGTATGGGCTCCGCACAGCCCCGCTGCAGGGCTGCTTGTGAAGGAGACAGTGCCGGACCCAGCGCAGCCACAGAGACACGTGGAGCAACCACGGTGCCGCCCCCACAGCAGGGTGAGTTGCAGCCGGGGATACACGCAGGGAAGTGAGGGGGTTTGGCAAGATGGGATGGGGCCGCCCGTGCCTGCGAGGGGCTGCGTGCTGGAGGGGCCCCTCGCCGCTTCCCCGCAGGCCACGGGCAGCCATGCAGATGCTTCAAGCGCCTGGACAAGTGCGAGCAGCAGGTTGCGCCCCGCGAGCTCAAGTACACACTGCACAATGCAGACACCCGCACCCTCTTCCACTGCAACTGCACGCGCAGGTGGGTGTCCTGGGCACAAGGCGGCGCAAGCTCCACACAGCGGCCCTGGCCCCGTGCGGTGATGGCTGGGTGCTCTCGGGCGCAGGCTGGCTCGGTGCCTGCGCAGGGCTGGAGCACTCAGCGCCGCAGAGGAGGCCATGCTGATGGAGCGCGTCGGCCCAGGCTGCTTCAT